CCTTATCTCTCTCTCTCTCTCTCTCTCTCTCTCTCTCTCTCTCTTTCCTTTCTTATTTTCTGTGGTAGTGGAGATTGAGTTGAGGGCCTTTGCACTGAGCTCTGTCCCCAGCCCCCGCTCCCAACTTTGACATAGCATCTTACTAAATTGCCCAAGCTGGGCTAGAACTTGTGATCCTCCTGTCTCAGCCTTCCAAAGTGCTGGGATTATGAGTGTGTGCCACCACACCTGGCAAGAACAAGATTGTTTTTTGGTGCCAGGGATTGAACTTGGGACGTCACACTTGTGAGACAGGTGGTGGAACCACTGAGCTAAATTTAAAGCACAACTTTTTTTTTTTCTTTAAGAACAAGCTTTTTTAAAAGTTGTATTATGGAAGATTTAAAATATATGCAAAAGCATAGGGAATGGCATTCTGAACTATTTTCAGAGAAATACACTTTCTCTTTGCCCTTCTATGCTATTTTCTGCCTGTCCTCATGGGCAATTGTTTAAAAAATCCTCCTAATTAAAAAAAACTCTTGTGTGTTTGTGTGTGTGTATGTGTTTGTGTTGTGTGTGTTCATTTCTTCCCGTCACTTACTCTCCCTCTGTTCCTTCCTTTCTTTTTTGTTTTGTTTTTTCATTTTTGTGGTGCTGTTGATCAAATCTAGGGCCTCGTGGATGCTAGGCAAACAATCTCCCACTGAGCCATATCCCAGCCCACTTTTACCTTTTTCATACAACCCTCGATCCTGGTAACTACCCCAAATCATCATGTGGAAATAATCCTCCTTCCTTTTATCAGCTGCATAGTACTCCATTGTGTGGTTGGGTCAGAGTCTGACTAACCAGTCCCTAATTGATGGACATTTGGGTGGTTTCCAGCCTTCCTCCAGTACAAATTATGCTGTAACAAATGCCTTTCTGTATATATCTGCCATTGTGGTTCAGGCATAGGTTTCTAAAAGTAGAATTGCCGACTCAAAGAATAATTGCACGTGTAATTTTACTAGTTGTTACCCAGTTCCCCTTAGTAGGTGAGAGCCTGCTTTGCCTCCCTCCCAACGACATATGACTGTACCAGGTATAAACATTCTTTCCCAGTTTCCTGTTTTGTAGATGGGAGGAAAAAGTTCAGGGGTATTAAGTACCTTGCCCAGGTCACAGAGCTGGTCAGACAGTGGAGCTGGAACTTGGAGCCAGACAAGAAATGCTTCCCTGTAGAGAACCAGAAGACTCGTGGTGGCCTGGGAGGATTCACTGCCTACCCTCTCAGGAGAGAAATTAGGGGGGTTAGCCCCTTCCTAAGCAGCCTCCTGCGGCCCACCCAGCACTGCCTCAGTCTGCAGTAACCAGGTTTCCGTCTGAGCGGCGCTGTGTGTTTGGCCCGCGGGGCCTCCCCGGATGGGGTGTCCTCCCCGAGGTGACTCCCTGAGCCTGTGCTGGGAATGGGCCTTCCTCCCTCTCCCACATGAGTCACCACCGCAGCCAGCGGGAGGGCGCGGCTGCTCCTTCCTCCCCGATCTCCTCACGCTAAAGTGTGACGGACGCATGAGGAGAAACCAGTGTGCCCACTATTACTGCTTCTCTGGAGATGGTCATCGGAGGGAACACTTGCCACTTTTCACTTTATAATAAAGACTCAGCATCCCTCAGATTTCTCTGAGTGAGAGCAGCTCAGCCTCACCCTCACCGAGGAGAAGGTCAAGGGGAGAAGCTGAGGGTGGCACACGCCAGACTGGGCACAGCCTTCACACACGGCACCTTCGCCCAGCCCTCTGACATTGTGTCACGGCCACCTCCTCACCAGGGAGGCAAATGTGAAGCTCAAGGTGGTCCGGGGAAAGCGCAAGAGCAGAGGCCTCAATTCCAGCCCTCAGAAGAGACTCAGATAAAAGGAGAAACTTCCAGGGTGGCTGTATGCAGATATCTTAGGTTCTCTTCCCTCACTGCCTGAGCAGTGAGATTTATCTGGCTCATGGTTTGTAGAGTTTTCAGCCCACAGTCTGCTGGCTCCAAGGCAGGGTGGCACGGAGAGGGGCCTCGCAGAGGAGAGACAGTCGGTGACAGAGTGGAGTGCGTTAGCCCTCTGTGTCCTCTCTGTCTTACTCAGCCTCCCACACTACTGCAGCAGCACGCACACCCCTAATCCTGGCCAGGACCTGCCAGACCGATGAGGGACTGATGCAGTAATCACACACCCTTGACCCTGGCACCATTTCTGGGTCCAGCCACCTCTGAAAAGCCCCCCTCCGTGACTGATGAGGCTTCCAGGGGACATCCAGCTAACAGGGATCCCAAAG